TCTCTCTCTCTCTCTCTCTCTCTCTCTCTCTCTCTCTCTCTCTCTCTTTCATTCACTCATTCACTCACTCACTCACTCACTCACTCACTCACTCACTGTCAGGTATAGTACAGTTAAGCGCAAGTGTAGCAAATAAAAAGTAGATCTTTACTTCATACCTGCACATGCATATATATGCGGAAGGAGTTGATTATATTTCTTAGGAAAGGAGCAGTACAACGCAGTGAAATGTCAAAGCACGCACTCTTGTATTTCAATGCAAAATCGATCAATAACGAATCTGTCCAAAGAAAGACGAGTAAAATTGCTCTAGTTTTTGCTTACCTAATAGAATTCATCAGGGAGGCGAATATGGTGCCATCAAAAACCAAAAAAAAAAAACCATTGAAAGATTTCGCATTCATTTTTAAATACCTACTGCAAAGGGCTTATACTAAGTGTTTCCTATTTATAAGCATGCAACAGCTGAAATGAATTGAGAGAGAGAGAGAGAGAGAGAGACCGACCGACTGATTATTTTGCAATGCCAGTCAGTTCAGAAAAATCTTTTGAATCGATCTAAGACTATTATTTGTCTGTTGGTATTTTGGCCTGTCTACGTGTTTGGTTTTTATACTTGGATTTTTATGGTCAATCTAGTGGCCGCACTTTCCAGAAATGTTGTTACATTTTGGGTAGACGGACAAAATTTTGAACTTTGACAAGTTAGTCATATTTGAAATAGATCTAATCAGGCCACTTTTAAGATCCTTTCTCAAATAGGACACTTTAGTAGGCTATGGATCACGCTACACCACTTTACATTTCCATTATCCATTTACTGACTTTTCAAAATAAAGCGTTATACGAAAAGTGGTCGAAAAAATGATCCGATCCGACCCATTTCTTGGAATGCTTTAGTAGATTTAATCCAAATACCAGCATAAAAAAGAAAATAAAACAGGCAGATGCGCAGGATAGATAAGCTTAGACCCGTATAATAAAAGGATGGATCTGTCTCAGCTGGTTCCTATGTTTTTGCATACATGTGTATGTAAAGTTAACGTTCCCTTGGAGTAGGGTATAAGAAGATCTAAAGTATAATTTCGGCAAGTTTGTATCAAATCTAGTTACTCTCAGGATATATTGTCTTCAACAACCAAGTCCAATTTTTCGGATTCTATGACACAGAATAAGAATTAGAAAATTAAAGAAAAAAACTTGCGCAGCAGCCGTAGGAGCGCGCATATAACTACAATCAAAACTAATCACTGATTTTATTAAGATTCAGGTAAAGAAGTCTGTGTTCGCAGCGGGTCGCTGTTATTCGAAACGGCGATTTGTCTGTTACTGATTCGCTATAATTCTTAGAAGTGAGCGATTATTGATTTCACGTACAAGTTGACTGGGCCCATAAAAACCTTAATTACGTTGGCCTCTTTTGCGGACACCTTCCCTATATAAGGACTCACATGAGAAGTAATTATATGCATGACAAGGTCACAAGGCCTATATCCCTATAGGCCTATATGGCATATATAACACTTTAAATTGTTTTATATGATTTTTTTCCCCTTTGGCAAAGTGTTCGCTGATTTACGTATTTGGCACGGAGAGTTTCTGAAGAAAAATTTACGACATACGACGAGCTCGACCAAGTGTAACCTAAACATTGCAAAAATAATGGCCTACAATGCAAATTGAGCCTTTTAATTTGAAAGTGGCCTAAGTCAATTTCTAAAAAAAAAAAAAAAAAAAAAAAAAAAATCTAGATAGCAATTGTAATATTCACATGTCTCCGTCACTAACACATTCAAAATGAGTACGATTAAAGTCCATTTTAAGAGAATATTATGGAATATGATTTTACGAAATTATAGCTTTATGTTTTATTAAATTAATTAATATATAATTTTAATATAATCTTTAATATAACTTTAGCCTTAGCAAAACCTTCAAGTAGCAGCCTGTTAGCGATTGCAATGCACGAATAGAGCACCTGTTAAACAACAAAATTAAGGCATCGAATCGGGGAAACGATAAGTCTAGTCTTATGATAGAATATGATGAAGAGGATATGAGCAGGAGATTCATTAAAAACGAGACCCAACATTTGGCATTACGCAATCCTCTGTGTCTCTATTTTAGGTCCTCTTCTTTCGCCTTACCCCGAAGGCCCTGCACATTACCCAATTGCCTCTTGCAATGCAAGCGTAGTTTGTATTTTCACAATTTTCATAATGATAGTACTCACATGTATGCCTGGGCATTGAGAGATTCACAGGAATCACAGGCAGCCTGTATCCGGAATCAACTGGAAATTCTTAGAAAGCGAAAAGTACGCAGCAGTTATTGCTTACAGCGAATATGTGTACTCAGGACAAAATACAAATGCAAACCTTTGACCTTCGACATGATTAAATATTGTCCAATCTATCGAAAATTTCAATTTTCTGCATAAACTTAAAAAATTTACTTCATTAACTTGGATCAAAACCATCAAAACATATTATGCTAATCGGATTGATAAATGATATACATATATATACTTAGAAATGTAATAGCATTATATTACTTTATTATCAATTAAGAATATCTTCAATATAAATGGACTTGGGTCACTTTCAAAATAATCGGCTCAATTAGGAAGAGAACAGAAAATATCAGTTTCTTTGTTGACTTTCGGACAAAATTCATAAAAAAAAAACTTGAGATCAGGTCAGAGATTGTAAACGCGATGTTATCAAACGGACTAGCAGACAGCCACCCATTACTAAAATGATGTCATAATTTTTGCTGAATTTGTGAATTATTGTTAATTCACGACGTCTCCGACGCCTATTTTCATACCATTAGCGATATTTGATAAATTTTTAATAAAGACCATCTGCAGTAGTAACTTATTCGGTTACAGAAATCATTCGTTTTTCTCTGCTAAATTAATCGATTATATGACGTATGCGATATATACTTATGGTGTCTTTGACCGCGTCGATTGTAAAGACATGAACGAGCCCGAGACTGCGTGGTCGGGATGTATTTAATTCCTATAAGAATATTGAGATTAGTTTTGTTTGCAAATCAATCCCAAACGATATCACTACGATATTTAGATGAGACAGCGGTTCGGTAAAGCTTTCGATCAATATCGAGCGTTTGTCAAGGCAGTTCGCTGTGGTGATCATTCATTTTTGAATTTTGATATTCGCGGACTTGGAGGACATGCCTTCAACGTCTTAACGAACTTGTAACGAAATTATATCGAATCTCTTTTATAATCGCAAATGTCGGTCAAATTGTGGATAAAATCAAATTTCTAAACAATAACTCGTCTCCTCGCTTAACAAGAAAGTTGCAATTCATTCTTTTGATTCATTTTTGGCTTTTCTCGCTTTCTCTCTCGCTTTCTCCTTTCCTCTTTTTCGATTATGATACATGTATGTTATGTTTAATACGCTTAATAATTCATCAAAGTGTTTAATGTTTAAAAGTGAAACTTTGAAAGAGATTTCATAAGCAAAATGATACAATCTCTTACCTTGTATTTATGTATGTATGGCGTTATTTGAACGCCTTAAACTCAATTCTAAAATTAGAATAGCAAATATGTTACGCTTCACTAGCATAAGTAACGAATGAATTAACACTTAGTTGTTAATTCAACAACTGTAGTGAATTATTTCATATCAATAAAAGTATTCTTTAAGGAATTTAAACAAACTCTTTGTAAATATTTGAATAATTTAAAAAAAAACTGTATGTATGTATGTATGTATAATTTGTTTTTATTTTTATTTTTATTTTATTCTTTTTCATAACATCATAACATTATTCTTTCCTTCTCTTTTTTTTTTCTTCATTTAATAGGATTATAATGAACAATGTCCATACTCGTTGTCGCCTGTTAGCACAAAATCACAAAAATTACTGCGTTCACCCCGCAAAGCAACCAGAAAAATATCACGCATACCGTTCAAGGTAATTTAGAATAAGATTTATGAGAAATTCCAAACAAGCCAAGCAGCAATTAATCTTAATTTTTTCAAATTGCTACAGGTTTTGGATGCGCCAGAATTACAAGATGATTTCTATTTAAATTTAGTCGATTGGTCATCGCAAAATGTTTTGGCTGTCGGTTTAGGTAGCTCTGTTTACCTATGGAGCGCCTGTACAAGCCAGGTGAATAGATATATACAAGATATATATATATATATATATATATATATATAAATAATTAGCAGACATTTTAACACTTTATTGGCAAATGTTTGCTATTTATGTTTATTTCCTATTTTTATTTATTTATTTTTTTTATTTTATTTGTTTTGTTTCTGTTTTACTTTTATTTGCCAATTTAAACTTTTCATATTCTTCTTCTTCTTTTTCTCTAAATACTTCTGTTATATAATCAATCACTTACAATGAATGCTGTTGTGGTGGTTCATTTATTTATTTATTTATTTATTTATTTCTCTTTTTTTTTTTTGGCTATTGATTGTAGGTAACACGTTTGTGTGATCTAAGCCCGGATGCGAATACTGTTACTTCGGTATCATGGAATGAACGTGGTAATCTAGTAGCAGTTGGTACACACCATGGCTATGTTACAGTATGGGACGTAGCTGCCACTACACAAGTAAATTATTCTGCTAAGGCATTCAATCATAGAATAAAGTATACATTCTCTTTATGCATACGTAGTAATGGTCGATAGATTTTTATATAATGTCTGAAAGTATGCTATAGTTTTTATGTTAAAGTTACTTTATGTTAATTAGCATTTACTGTAAAAATTATATGCAAATAATCAAACTTTTAAATTAATGCTTTACACTCTTAATATTTTTTTTTTTTTTTTTAACCACCTGTTTACTGCTTAATTAGTAATTTCAAATAATGCAATAGGATTTGATTTAAGAAATCGGAAATACGGAAACGATTAATTCGTGATTTTTTTTGTGATTTTGACAAAAGAATATATATAAGCATAGATGTGTTGAAAGTCAAGTGTGGTTTTGCTGTTGCTGGGTTTCAAGTTTGTCTGGCCGAAAAGTCGTATTTTTAATAAATTATTTCAAGAGATTTCAATCATTTTCTTGCTGTCGAGATTAGATTCAACGCAAAATCTATCGATTCAATGTAAAATCTATCGAAATATCTGCCTTCATCGATCGTCCTTCGTAGCGTAACAGCCAGGTCCGAATTGAATCGAATGAGCTCATTTGATCTCTTAAGGAATTTAAATATCGCGGTCATTGTATGATTATCTACAGAAATAATCAATTCATCCTAATTATAGATCAACCAACTATTTCTGATAGACTACTACTACTACTACTACTACTACTATTATATATATTACTCTATCACATGATTTTATGTACGATTTCTCTTACTTACTTATAGATTAACAAATTAAATGGGCATTCAGCGCGTGTGGGAGCTTTGGCTTGGAATGGTGATATCTTGTCAAGCGGTTCAAGAGATCGCCTCATTATACAAAGGGATACACGCACACCAGCGCAACAATCTGAACGTCGTTTAGTTGGACATCGTCAAGAGGTTTGCGGTTTAAAATGGTCACCGGATAATCAATATTTGGCCAGTGGCGGCAATGATAATCGCTTATATGTATGGAATCAACATTCATTAAATCCAGTGCAATCTTATACGGAGCATATGGCTGCGGTGAAAGCTATAGCTTGGTCTCCACATCATCACGGCTTGTTAGCAAGTGGCGGCGGTACAGCAGATCGTTGCATACGTTTTTGGAATACATTAACAGGACAGCCTATGCAGTGCGTGGATACAGGTTCGCAGGTGTGCAATCTAGCTTGGTCTAAGCATTCGTCGGAATTGGTATCAACTCATGGCTATTCACAAAATCAAATCCTAGTGTGGAAATATCCATCGTTAACCCAGGTGGCAAAGCTAACAGGTCATTCATATCGTGTTCTCTATTTGGCTTTAAGTCCAGATGGTGAAGCCATAGTAACAGGGGCCGGTGATGAAACATTACGCTTTTGGAATGTTTTCAGTAAAGCGCGCAGTCAAAAGGAAAATAAATCAGTCTTGAATTTATTTACAAATATTAGATAAATTTGATAGAAAAAAAAAAAAAAAAAAAAAAACAATAATAATAACAATAATAATAACAATAATAATAATATTAATAATAATATTAATAATAATAATAATAACATTAATAATAATAACAACAATACATCCAGACAAACAAACACATCCACGCACACCTACACATATGCATGCATTCACGATCATTAATAGGAAGCAGGCTTTAGTGATAGCACATTATAATCATTTGAAATCAAAGAAAACAAAGCAACACATAGGATATGCGTCTCGTTTAAGCGACACCACCACCACCACCACCACCACCACCCCCGTTAATTAATTAATTAATTAACTAAACGCAGACTTAATCGTTATATATTTTTTAGTATAATACCGAAGAAGA